AGCCAGATCTGGATTTGGGGAGGTGAAGAAAGACCCCAGATATGTATCCCTTGCCCCCTTCCCGGGGCTTGGTGGTAGTTTTAGCTGGGAACGGGGGCCTCTGATCTTGAGCCCATACACCCACTCTCCCAAAGTTCTGCAAAGCAGCTGGACGGCTGCTTTGAGCATCTCTGCCATCTCTTCAACATGAACAGAAACCAGAGGGCAAGTGAGGGCTTAGCCCTCCAAACAACCCCATGCCACAGGCACAGTCCATAAAGTGGGAACGGGGGCATCTTGCAGCTGGCTGGGTGGATCAGATTAGGAATCCATCAAGAAGTGGGGAGACAGCTTCTTGTGAACCCAAGCCCATCTCTGCAGCCCCCTTCCATCTTTGGCATTGATCTTAAAATATGAGATCCTTCCTACAGCAAGGTCTGTTTGGGCTGATCATGCTGCAGGAAACTGCAGAGAAGGCCCAGCTGGCCTGTGCCCTCCAAGAGGGCAGGGGAGGGTGGGCAAGGAGTCACAGAACACCAACAATCTTTTCCTGTGGTAGCCATGGAGGGAAGCAGCAGAGGCTCAAATGAGAATCTAAGGGGGTAAAGACACTGCCTGTATAGATCTATCCACAGCCTATATGTGCCTGGTCCATCAAGAGATGCTAGGAACAGATGCAATCTCAGCTCCTGGGAAACCTTAAGGGCCAAGCAACCAATGACCTTGTCCTCTAACCTTCCAGGGCAGGGCCTAGGGAAAAGTATTAAGTGTGTTGTTCGAAGGGATTTGAAGTTGTTTTACTTTCACATATTAGACAGCTGACCAGAACCCCTAGAAGTTTCCTGAGATAATACTCTGCTGCTCCTAGGGCCCAGCTCTCTATAATCTCATCTTCAAGAATTGCCCTTGTTGCTTTAAATTCAGTCACACCTCACGCACGAGAAAAGAATGGTACTATGGAAAACACTTGACCAGAGTCAGGAGCCCTGCCTGTCACTCATCACTGTATGAATCACTTTCCCCTCTCGACTCTAGTTTCCCCATTTTTAACATAAGGGCATTGGACTAGACTGTCTCTAGGATTCCTTCCAGCCTATGATTCTATGTTGTTTTGATGTGGTGGAAAATACCAGCTTAATTTACACAAATTTGCATGTCCAATCAGAAATCCCATACTCTGAGTGTAGAAAATCCAATCAGTCCTTTAGTGCAGCTAGACTGGGGCTGGAGGAGCCTGCCAGGTTAGGGTGAGGATTGTCACTGCAGACAGTGGTGGTGGTGAATTGTAGGAGGAGTCTGGGGAAGCAGGGGTGAGAAGGAGCATTTGTTCTGAGAGATGCAGTTCTGGTGGCCCAGGGCTAAGAGGGCCTGGGGCTCCACTTCAGCTACCATACAAGGGTCCTTTCTCCTTCTGTTTCTAAAGAGGTCTCTGGCTCACCAGCGTCAGCCACACCCCAAGAGGGAACAGCAGCCTCTGCCTAGCAACAGCTGCATCCTTCACTCTGACAGGGACCCCAACCACCCACTTTCTGGGAAAATGACCTCCCTGGGAGCTTCCATTCTCCCTTCCAGGGGCTCCTAGTAGTGAGAAAGGTTTCCTCGGGGTCTAACCTAAATACCTCCTGCTGCAGCTTCACTCCCATGGGCAGGAGAGCCCAGGGAGGCTAGCAGAGGGAAGAACAATGCAGGGGAATGCGCCCCACATCCAACCAATCCCATGGCCTCTCTAACTACTACCTCTCCTTCAACATCTCACTCAGCACCTGGGAAACCAAGGATGAAAACAAACAAGGAGAACGTGAAGGCCTTTGGCTCCTGAGCTACAGAGCAAGTCCCAACCTGGGGAGCCTGACTCCCAAGAAAGCCCTAACCCCAGAGGGAAGGAGGCTGGGAAAGGTGGGGTAGGGGCAGCCTCTTGGCAGCTGCTGGGCTGGTATGGCAGGGCCTGGGAGGCTGGCTGGGCTGGGTGAGGGCAGCAGGGGAGATTCCTTAGCCCCTTGCCTGGGAGTTGGGGGTATGAGTGCAGAGGTGAGGTGAGCAGGGCAGGGAGTGGAATGGTCAATAACAGTGGGCCCTCCTTGTTCTCTTCCCATAAGAGGGCAGATGAGTGTGCTGTGCTCTCTGGCCCAGATCCTGAAACAAGTCCCAACAGCTGAGATGCATACTGTCTCCTGGGAATCTGCTTACCGTGCTGGCCTTTGGCTGCCTCCTCCTTTCTCAACCCCTCCCCATAAGCCCAACTCAAAGACTGGCCCACCAGGATGTCTCACCAGAGGCCTTGATGGGTGGGCCAAACCCCACCCAGCAGAAGCTCGCAGCCCAAGGCACCAGGGGTGAGCAGGACAAGGGCTATTCTTAGGCAGGAAAAGGTAGTCTACTCCCCTCCACCCAAGGTTCTAATCCCAAGTAACCATGAGATTTAGAACCACATCACCTAAACACCTACCTCTCCAAACAGCCACCCTGCCAGAGGACCTTTCTCCCCCCAGATTCACTATCAGTGGAACCATACAGTGTCAAAAGTGGAAGGGAATGTTAGAGCTATCTAGTCCAACTGCTGAATTTTACAGATGAGGTAAACCGGCCCAGAGAGGCAAACTGTCTTGGCCAAGGTCACACAGCAAGCTAGGAAGCACAGGGACCAGAGATTCTGACTCAGTCTACAGTGACAATAGTTTGGTCTTCAAGCATATTGGTTTCCACCTGCGTATTGTGGAAGAGCCTTCTTCCCTGCAGCACAGGCCACCTGCCTCTCCAGGTTCACTCTTTCCCAAAGGCCTGAGCTGGAGAAAGATGGAGGGCCCAAGCCACCTCATGCATGTGGGCAGATGCCACCTAAGGAACAGACCATAGACTTTGAAAACAAAGTTGAACTATGTGGGAATCTCCCTAGATAGGAATACTTGTGTTTCTCTGAGGTAGGAAGTACAATAACCCAGGTTGTTCTCAGAGAGACAAGGGGCCAACATGAAAGTGAATTTAGTGTCTCCCTTCTTGCCAGACAAGGGGTCTCAATGTCTTGCAAGAGAGGGTCTGCACCAAGGCAACTGGGCTAGGTCCATTATCCCCAAAAGTACTGACCACAGAATGGTTAGACATTGACCCCCCCTCTTTACCATCCCTCAGGACCATCTCTGTCCCAAGCACCTGCTTCTAATCACTACCTCTAGCAGACAATTGTGCTTAGGCAGGAGGACCCATGGGAAACAAAGAGCAGAAGTAGGGTGAGAATAAGAGGAATTGCCTTTACAGCCAGGGAGGGAATTCATGAGCCTAAGACCCCTGGTCTTAGGAAGGCAAGCACTAAAAAGTAGCAGCTGGACAGGCTGGGTGGATAGCGCTGACACACCTGGAAAACCAGGCCTAGGGGAGGTGAGGGTCCTCTATGCCCTTGGGGCAGTGCCAGGGCTGTATCCTTACCCTGTGCCCAGGTGGGAACGGATAAGGAGATGGGGGCTGGGGTTCGGACAGCCACTTTCCTGCTCAGGTTAGGTCAGGGGAGTGTCGGGGACAAATAAATTCTCGGCATTCTTCTGGCACCGCAGCCAGGACCCGGAGTCTTTTCTGCAGGCGCTGCTGCGCTGGCCCCATTCCCTGCCCAGCCCTTCTCCCTCCCTCAGCCTCTCTTCAGTGTTCAGGCCGCCGGGCTGCCCTCCTCCTATCCGCATCCCCTCAAAGCCACGAAGGGTCGTTCCCCCAGGCCCTGATCTCTCCGCCTCTCCCCACCTCCTCCACGCCCTGCCGCCCCAGGCCACAGGAACTGCTCAGCGCAGAGAGGAGCCAGGGACTCATCTCCGCGCCTGCGCTTTGGGAAGAGCTTCCCCCACCGCAGCAGCCGGGAACGGCGAAGCGGCACCCGGACAGTGGGATGCGGGTGGGGTGGGGTGCGCAGCTGGGGCAAGGTCAGTGCTTTCAAAGAAGGAGGGAGACCGGCCCCCGGAACATCCCCCTCTCCTGAAAGTTTCCCTTCCGGGGCCACGGAGTGTGCGCGAGGATGGCGCGGGGGGCGGGAGGGGTTGGGG